AATTCAGATGCAGCCTTAATACCCTTCTCCAACTCACTTAGCTCATCATTTACCCATATCCTTATTGCTTGGAATGTTCTGGTGGCAGGATCAATTTTACTTTTTCCACGCGGCACCACAGAGCGTACGATCTCTGCAAGCTCAAATGTACTTTTGATCAGTTTTTTCTTTCGTGCATTTACTATCGCCTTTGCAACCCTGCGAGAATGACGTTCTCCACCATAATTATATATGGTATTGGCAATTTCTTCTTCTCGCAAAGCATTAACAAATGTTGAAGCGTTTACATGAGAAGAGTTATCCATGCTCATATTAAGCGGTCCATTATACATAAATGAGAACCCTCGTTCTTTACTATCAAGTTGCATAGATGAAACTCCTATATCAAATACTACTCCATCTATACCTATACCTTTGGTATTTAGTAGATTTTTTATATCACTAAACTTGTTAATAAATAACTTTATTTTATTTGGATATTCAGTGTTTAGATCTTGGAAGAATTTAGTAACCATTGCGTCTCTATCGATTGCATATACCTTGCAATTCGCAGAATTTAATATCGCTTTACTGTATCCCCCAGCACCAAATGTTGCATCTATATATATATCATCGTCTTGTGGCGAAAGTAAAGATAACATTTCTTTTAATAAAACTGGTGTGTGCATTGCTATAATATATTTTAACTTTTCTAATATAACATAAGTATCAAATTCATCTAATTGAATCAATGGATCTATAAACATATCTAATCTAATTTAATCCATGTACTTAATCTCTTGCTGCGCTAAAGGTTTATTTTTATTAACACAAGATACTCTTTGTTAAAAAAATAACTGTTTACATGGGTATATCATATAATATGTTTATAATTTAACTATATTTATCAATTAATAGTGGAGTAAAATGAGTTCTGATATAAATAATGCTTATGCAAAGGTACAAAATAAATATGCATGGAGAGATGGAAAGGCAATGTGGAAACCTATATATCAAACAAATGTAAAGGTAGAACCTACAATTAAAGATGCAAGTGTAGAAGAATCTACTTATCTCAAGCTAAATTTTACCTCATTACCAACACAAGGTGAGAATGGTCCTTCAACTAATGCAATATGCTAAGGTAATAAATATTGAGATGATGAGAAGGCCCTTAAAGTTATTATGTGACAAGTATTACATGGGTGCGCCAAAACAATATAGGAGGTGTGTAGAGTAATACAAAACAGTAAAGAGAGTATAGCAAAGCTTGCAGAGCACTATAATCTTAATCCGAAGGCTATTGTAAAATGGAAAAAACGCTCATTTGTTATAGACGCTGCAATTGGCCCAAAACATGGAAAATCAAAGATGTCAACTCAAGGGGAAGAAGCAATAATTGTCACTTTTCGCAAGCATATACTTCTTCCTTTGGACAATTGCCTTTATTCTTTGCGGGCCATAATTCCTTGTTTAACTCGGTCTAGTTTGCATCATTGTTTGCAAAGACACGGCATTAGCATACTGTCAGATGTTGAAGGAGAGATAAAAGCCAAAAAGAAATTCAAGCTATGTCCAATCGGTTATTTCCATATTGATATCGCAGAAGTTATAACAGAAGAAGGGAAGTTACAGCTAAACTTGCTTATGTTAAACTGCATAATAACGCTATAAAACCAATAGCTACTGAGTTTTTGCGTAATTTAATCAAAATTACCCTATGAGAATTAAGAACGTCATAAACACGCTTTTTAGCGCATATTTGATAGAGTTTTCAAAAATGACATTGAACATCGTCTTACTAAAATCTGACATCCCTCGACAAGTGGCCAAGTTGAGCGTATGAATAGGATGCTAAAAGATGTTGTAGTTCAAGGGTATTACTCTACTAATCTCATTAGTAACTCAAAGAGCATCTTTATAGCTTCGTTATGGCCTACAATTAAGCTAAAAGACTCAAAGCTCTTAAGGAACTCACACCTCTTGAATTCGTATGTGATTAGTGGACAATATTTCCTGATTTATTTATACCCAATACTCGCCTTCATACTTTGGGAGGATGTATCTGCATCTTTCTCAAATAGAGCTTTTACCATATATATCACTACCTCCAGCAGCTGGATGTAGTAATTGTTTTTTCCTGCTTTCTTTAAAAGCTACTCTATATTACCATTCCTAGTTAAGTTTTTTGGAATTTTACCGTTACTATTTTTTAACAAAAGATTTGCACTATTGCCAATAAAAGCTTTATTGCACCTACACGACTAAATAAGNTC